GTTTAGAAAATAAACATCTCAGTTTCTCCGAAACACCTGCAACATACAGAATAACCACTGGTTTGGGTCTGGGTTTGGGGTCTTCATTTGCATCAGGACATTAGGTCACAGGGGTCTATAGTGCACATCCCAATAACCCCAAAAACATTTTTCTAAATGCCATAATATATTTCTACTCAAGCAAAGTATCAAAGTATTTGTACTTCATTACTTGACACCTTTGKATTTACAATTAGTTTTCTTAAACTGCCATTAAAATTAGGAGAAAATAGTTATTTTAAGACACAGAGTTCAGATTAGCCTGTCAGTCACAACAGATGCTTTTTTTTCTCTCTAAAGTGAGTCTGTTCAAAGAGCTGTTTATATCTGGAATGATATGAATTCATAACTTTTCCACAAAACCCCCATTTCTAAATGGCAGAAATACTCCTTTAAGTACTTTTAACTTCTTAAACTCTGTGTATTGATGAGCAGCTTACAGGTAGTCCATTTTTTCTTCCTTCAGAGCATCACTACAAAATTAGGAGAACACAAATTGTTTTTTCAGATAATTTCATGTTTGATCTTTTAACGGAACACGTCTCTGCGGAGTGAACAACCTTATTATAAAACAACTTTATTTGTGGGTGGGAAACAAAGTGCTCCCATGAGAACAAGCATTTTGTTTGAACAGTCATGAAACTTGTTCCTTGTGAATAAAAAGACATGTAATTAGTTTCCAAGGCAACTGTGCTATTCAGTGGGGGGATAATGTGTTTGTTCACGATGCCCTTGACTGCAGGGAACACCAAGTCAACAAAGATTTCATATCATTTGAGCTGCGTGAAGAAAACTGCAGAAGCTTCTGCGTTTTCATCKGCTTTGATGTAACGCAAAACCTTTATTGATTCAACATTTAAACCATGTTTCATTCTGACGCGTCTGTTTTAACAGAGGAATGACGATGAGGCGGTTGTGGACAGAGGAGGAACACGGTCCCAACAGAGAACCAACTTTGAGCAGGAAGATTTGGAAGGTACCAACGAGCATCAAGCAGCGAGTAATTGCTGCTGCTGCTGAGTCCGCCCACTCTGTCCTAACGACTACTGCTTTCCTCTTGACAGCTTTTTTTTAAAACTGGTAAAAGATAAGAGCAGAGTAGGAGGCTGAAGCTGTGGGTGAGCCGAGAGTGCATTAGTAATTCCACAATCACACACAAAAAAACAAATATATAAAAACAATGTCAGACATTGAGAAAGATTTATTAAGTTAAACAGTTGTAGAAAAATAGAGAAATTGGCGTTAAACATGGATCAAATTAAAAATCCCTTTCCTTAAAATTCTCATAAATTCAAGGGGAGTGCGGGAAGTAGGGGTGTGGTGAGTGCTGCAGCAACCTATGTCCGAATACACTGCCTGGCCAAAACAAACAAACAAACAAACAAACAAACAAACAAACAAACAAACAAACAAACAAACAAATAAACAAACAACTGTCACACACTCTAATACTTGGTTGGAAGTTTAAAGTTTAGTTTAAAGCAAAGGCAAGGAGGAAACGCACTTACCTACACCTTTATTTTTAAACTAAACTTTAAACTTTAAGCTAAACTGAAGCAGCACGGTAGATCTGCACATGGATTCTGCTCCTTCCTGTCTGTTGACCAATAGTACAGGAGCTGACCCATGAAGGAACGCCCACCTTATTTGCATAAAGAGGCAGAAATGCATAAGGTAATGTAGGAGAAAGAGAAATGTAAAAACTACACATGGAAATAAAGACTTAAGAAAAAAAATAATTAAATAAATTAAGAGACAGATGCATCTACAAGAAAGAGAAAMAATATATGCATATTTAAATTTTGTGCTTAAATACATAATTTTTTGGAACTAAGCTGGAAAAAATATGAAGTTCTTTATAAAACATGAGTCAAATTAGGTTAATTTGTGATTTTAAGTGTATTTATTGGTCCATTTATATATTTCTGCTTTTATTTGTAATTATGCCAGATTCGGTCTTTCATAGAAATTATTCTTTGAGCTGAACCTAGACCTAATCAACTGCAACAACCCCAGATCATATTAGTTAAATCTAGGTGGCAACTTTTGTTTTGGCCAGGCAGTGTACGTGGTTGAGGAAAAAAATGTGTGAGAGAGAGGGTGAATGTTTGTCTCGTTTGTCTTTGGCCTGAAATGTAGTGGGCTATGTGCATTTCTTCCAAGGGATGCTTGCTGCGATTGTAAATATAAATTTAACAGTTAACAYCATGTAACACCATACACTGTTTTTCTGATTTTGTGTTGTCCAAACCAACATACATAAATAAACCTCAGCTGTTGTTGATCTTCCTTAAATCATGTGGGATTTGTCCACAGGCCACAGGACACTCTACATCGGGGTCCACGTCCCCTTAGGCAACACCAGGCACCGCAGCCATCACAGGCACCGTCACCATGGGAAGAAACAGTGGAGGAGGAGGAGCAGGGAGCGGAGCCTCCCTTTGGTGGAGGGGAGAGAGTCACCAGTTTATGGTAAAAAAACAAAACAAAAAAAACTACCAATGCATTGGTTCATATTACACTGTATATCTGGTTCAGTTCATTTTAAAAAGGGGACATATACAAAATCCACGTTTTTAGCCATTTAAGATGTTTTGTTTTATATTTGGAGTCTCTCTCAAAGTACAATGGACTGTTTTGGAAGCTGGAGGGAGATGGGGCGTGAAGTGCTTCATTTGGATTTATAAAGAGACAGCGTCAAAATGAGTTTAGTTTTAAATGTGAAAAAGAAGGATTTAAAAGACTCATGTCTCTAAATATCTATCGCAACTCCTCCCAGACACCCCCTCTCAGAGGGTGCAGTTCCTGCTGGGAGCAGAAGATGATGACGAGGAGCACATCCCCCATGACCTCTTCACTCAGATGGATGAGATCTGTGTGCGAGATGGAGAGTGCGACTCTGAGTGGAGGGAAAGTGCCAGGTAATGTTAATCCTCCTGTTACCAAGTATCATCAACACACAGTAATCATGCCATCGACTGCAACTGTAATAGAAAAGAAAAGGTCAGGGCCATGATTCCACTCCATACCAATGAGACATGTTGACATTTGTCTAATGCTTCACTGCTTATTTTTTCACGGCGGCAATGTTTTGTTCAAAACTTTGGCCTCAACACAGACTATTGGCAAAATGTTTCAAGAACCAGTTAACAGATTTAAAAGAAAACTCCCAGAAAGGAACTATTGCTGGGTTGTAGATGACATACTATTGAAGTCATGAAATTCAGATTGTGTGTTTGTGTGCGTGTGGATAGGTTTTTCCTACAATGTGGACAATTTTTCAAAAAAAAAAAAAAAAAAAAAGCAGCCTCGCAGGGACTGAAATTAATCGTGGGGACCAATGCCAGGTCCTCACAGGTCCAAATGCAAATTACAGATGTGGGGTTAGGTTTAGGACCAAGGTTTAGGTTAGTTTTAGGATCAGGTAGGTACCTGTGAGGTTAATTTTAGGGTATATGGTCAGGGTTAGGCTAYAGTCTAAAAAATGAATGGAAGTCAAGGGAAAGTCCCCACAGGGTTTAAGAACAAATATATGTGTGTGTGTGTGTGTGTGTGTGTGTGTGTGTGTGTGTGGGGGGGGGGGGGTAAATGAAGCCTGTTTGCTTCTGTAATTCAGCTTCATAATGCCTAAATTCTGTGCCATGTATGGTTGTTGCAACTGCTCCAATCAGAAATCTAAAAGTGTTTTTCATGCTCTGAAAGTAGTGTATCAGAAAAAAGATGACAAAAGTGGTTTAACACAATCTATGACTAAAAAAACAGGAGGTGCGGACACAAACAATGCAAGAGTTTGCAGCAACCACTTWCTAACAGGAAAAGATTGTATTCTTAACATTGTATTTTCATATATGTTACTCACATTTGGGTTTACAGAAGCTAAAAAAGTATGTATTTACAAGTGGATCCAAGCACATGGAAAAAAAACGGGTTAACAAGTTGTTAGCGTTAGCGATAGCATTGTTATCATAGGCTAATTACTTAAAATAGCACAACTCACTACTCACCCAGRCACAAACAAGTCGACAACCATTTAAAGCTTCTTTGGATCCTRAATGTTTGACCCAACCTGAAACAAAATATTTGTGGCTTCSAGGCTTTTGAAAGCTTTCATCTGRYTTTTCTTCTAACGAGGTCTGYAGCACCAGATAGTTWGTTATGTCAWTTGYATYGGGACCGGGTAAATCCTACAGATTATATAACAASTCTTTTTTTATTAACACAATATGGACTATCAGTATGGAATATCATAAATGTACGCATATTTTTGCCACAATATATTTTCTGTGCCAGCCCATTTAGGACATTAGCATACTCGCTGTGATCCATTTCGCTGTGTTTTGAGAAGCAAAACCCCCATTTGAATTTCACGCATCATCTGGGTCACGTGACTGTAACCCAGCAATTGGATTAAAATCCACAGCTGATTAACTTTGGAATCAGCCTGCTTTAAAAATGATATAAGTTACTTTAAGGGATACTAGTTTCAAAGAACTTGCCACTACATTTTTCTTCTCCAGTAAACCAGAATTTTTCAAAAAGACGATGCTGTGGTGACATGATGAATACGACATATTTTATTTACACTGATCCTCTGATAAAAAGCAATAAGGAAGGAGAGTAAATGAGTGAAGCTGAGAGGATAAAGGAGCTCCATGTGAGGGCCTCAGAACGAACGAGTGTTCTAACTGCAGATCCAGAACAGATGGCTGGCCAGTTTGCCGTCTGCTGGCCTCACTGGATGCAAACTCCTCTTATAGGTGGCTGAAGTTTGAGGAGGACGTGGAGGACGGAGGTGAGCGATGGAGTAAACCCTACGTCGCCACGCTGTCCCTGCACAGTCTGTTTGAGCTGCGCAGCTGCATCATCAACAGCACAGTGATGCTCGACATGAGGGCTAACAGCATCGAGGAGATTGCAGGTAAACCTCAGCTTTTAACAGTTTCTGACAAGTGAAAATGGGATTGAGGGAGACTTGCTTTCTACAGAACTTTAACTAATAATAAAAAAGACAGTTTGCTGCATATGAGCTKCCATTGTTCGTGACCTTTAACCTTCAGTTAAATCCTAACACCTGCACTTACTGTTTGTGTGTTTTTCTACCTTAGACATGGTGTTAGACAACCAAGAGTTGTACTCGCCGCTGGGAGAAGAGCTCAGACAGAAAGTGCGTGAGACTCTCCTGAAGCAGCACCATCACCAGAACCAGAAGAAGTTGGCTAATCGCCTGCCGATTGTACGTTCCATCGCTGACATGGGCCGACGGGCGTCAGAGCTCCATCTGGACAAGAATGGTGAGCTTTTCGAGAGTTGCGCCCTCTGCAAACTAAAATACTGGGCAACTTCAGTTGAATGAAAACCTTAAAAAAAGCAAAATCTTGATTATGTGATGTCAGATTGGAATGACTGAAAATAGGGACACGTGTCTGTATTGCTTTATAGTCCAGTTAGAAATTTTCTGCAGGCAACCACTTCCACATTACTTGTAACTGGGTTAAAAGAGAGTAAAAAAACTTCTGATTTTTCGTTTTTTATTCAGGTCAGTTGACGGCCTCCCAGTCTCAGTTAGCAGCTCCAGATGGCAAAGGAGACATCAGCAGAGAGAACAGTTCTGTGGACTTCAGCAAGGTATGATGCTTGTTTTTAATGTGAAGTTGTTTTTTTTTTTAGGTCTGGTGGTCACTTACAGTATWTTTCTCCACAACAAGAAGGTTTTAGGTTCTAATCTGCAGAATGTGCATGTTCTTACTACTTACACTTCAAGGTTAATAAATGTCAAATTAAAAGTGAGACTTATTCTTATTGAAAAGAAAAAATAATTAGGTCCTCTGGATGGGTTCTTCTTTAGTGAAACGTTTCGTAGAGAAGAACCCATCCAGAAGACCTACTTATTATTTCTTTTTGATTTTTTTTCTACCTGGATTACTGAGATGCATCAGGAAATTATTATTATTATTATTATTATTATTATTATTATTATTAT